TAGTTGAGCATTGCGTGAATGGAATGCTTTCTGCATCGATCAGAGTAGCACACCAACCTTGTTTACTTCTACTGTACTATCTACTATTTGGTTTGTTCTTTAAATCTTTGGAAGTTGGTTTCTCAGTATATCCTATGTCTAGTATTTATTTGCTGATGCCAGGCTTGGCTACTTTGGCCTGTTGTGAACCCCATTGGTGATTGTAGATTCCTATGCCATGTTCTTTTCTTTGATTTAACCTTTTCGTGAAGTCTTTACAAGTTTTTGAGTGGAAGACATCTTATATCCAATCAGTGTTTGTTTTCTTGTGTACTATTAATTTTATCATTATGTTTATGTTGATTTATTTCATGTTTTTACGTTTTCAAGATCTATGTTCACATTTGTTTTTAGTTAATAGCAGATATATCATTATTCTTGCCTTCCTTCTCTCCGTTTTCGTTTTGGGTGATTTGTGTGGCTCGTTTCGAGGTGTTTGTCTCTTCGTTTCTACTTCTCTTTCTATCTTCATAAATTTCTTCTTTCTTTTTCTTGGTGCAATATGGTGTGTGTTTACCTGAAATTCCATTTTTTATGTTGCAGATCTAGGAGAAAAAAGAATTCCTCTAGTGGAGATAATTTGGAATCTACAACGCCAGGTGATTTTCTACTCTAATTAGTTGTTTCTGCAAAAAATGGTTATGCTGGTTCTTCCTGTACCTTGTTTCCTTCCACCTAATAAGACTTGATTTTTATCTACAAGTCTACCGTATGTAATCAAAATCTTGTTTACTCTTGCTTTGAATTTTTTATTTGTCTCACATTTTTTTTTCCTTTAAATTATTTTGGGAGAAAGGTCAAGGAACGAGTGAAGGGAAAAAGGCATTATACCACTGCAATTATTGCATTAAAGACATTACAGGGAAAATTCGCATCAAATGTGCCATGTGCCCTGACTTTGATCTTTGTATTGAGTGCTTTTCTGTTGGAGCTGAGCTGACACCTCATAAAAGCAATCACCCATACAGGGTTATGGTAAGCAAGGCCCGTAGTAGATTGAATTCTCTGAAGTATGATAAGCTTATTTTTAATGACGTAGTTGCATGGGAGATTGGGTTATTGATAGAGCAATTAGATGCAACTGAGTTTTGTTTAAAGTGAAAGCTGGTTTAACCTGAGACTGAGGTTTTGGAGATTTTCTCTAATTGGAAGTTACCTCTATTGGTTTCTCTCTGAGTAGAATTATGTTCTAAGTTGAAACAAATGATGCACTTAAACAACACATCGTAGCTTCTACAGAAGTTTGGAAACATTATAGTTACTGCTGAATTTCAGTTGAACCCTAAATGCAAATGCTTTTCTTGAACGTGTCTTCATTTTGATAGGATAATTTATCTTTCCCACTCATTTGCCCAGACTGGAATGCAGATGATGAAATACTACTTCTAGAGGTATACATTTTTTTCCTCTAAATTTCCCTTACAGAGCTCTCCTAAAATCATGTGTCAGCTTCATATCAAGGTGGATAGGGTATGTGTGCTAACTTCCCTGCATTTTCTTATCGCCTGTATATTTTCTTTTCATAATTTAGGGGATTGAGATGTATGGCTTCTGGAATTGGACTGAAGTTGCTGAGCATGTGGGAACGAAGAGTAAAGAACAATGCATAGAACATTATTCAAGTGTATATATGAACTCCCCATATTTTCCTCTACCGGTATAAGATTCTTAGCAAGTTTGGTTCTTCTAGAACTTTGGCTTTTCTTTCAAGAAATGAACTTTTGGATTTTTCTCAGGACATGTCTCATGTTGTTGGAAAAAATAGAAAGGAGCTCCTTGCCATGGCTAAAGGGCATGGTGAAGACAAGAAAGGTTTGTCATTTGTGAGACGTTCCTCATGTTTTTATGAGCTACATTGGCAATTCAGTAGCCAAGAAACATCCTGTAATGCTATGAAATATAGAAGTATCTTGAAAAAACCATAATATTGTAAAAAATGTGTATCTGCAGTGTTAATTAGGGTCCTACTATTTAGAGATGATACGGTACACAAATGTATCTTGGAAGATAACTGATTTTTGTCGGTCTTCCTTGGTAAAACTGACAAATGTTTTTTCTGATTCTTGAGAAACAATCTACAGTCTGATGGGTTGAAGGAGTAATTGTTAACTGATGCAGAAGTTCTTATAGCTTCATTCTTGTGCTTTATTCTAGATGATCCTGGTATTGTTCTGATGATGCAGCTGATGATTAATTTCTTCTAATGCTGCAGGGTTTTCAATGCTTGGAGAGCTTACTTTGAAGGAAGAGTCCCCATTTTCTCCTTCAAGAGTGAAGTATATCAATATTTACTTTAAATGACTTTGTTCTCTTTTCTTCGTTTCCCTACCTTCACATCAATATTTCCTTTTATTCTCAGAGTTGAAGATACACATAAAGTAGATCCTTCTGGCCGTTTATCATCAAGCTCTACGTCGGGTGAGGCATTTTATGTTTATTCTTGTTGATTGACTATGAATGTATATTACCATGTTTAATTGGGGAAGGTGATCCTTGGATGCTTTGCCTGTAAATTTTATTGCAGAAGATGGCAGCTTCAATATGGCCGCCACCACCGCTAACAAGAAAGCATCAAATACAAATCAAGTTAAAGATAGCCTCGTTAAGGTGGAAGGTATAGTACAGATATGAATTCTTTAGGTTGCAATTGGATGTTGATGAATTTATATTTCTAAATCCTAATTGATCTTAAACCTTATCCTTTTACAGGAAGCTTGTATAAACTATTCATTATTGATTTCCATCGTAGTACATACTAGCTCTCTAAATCTATAGCCAATGCTTTCTTTTTATACTGTTTTCTTAGATAGGAGTCATGTAAAATTATACTTTGTTCCTACTGAAGGGGATTGGATAGCAATATATGTTGTCTTTCTTCCCACTCGACATTGTTACTTTCTCTAGGTTGCCTGGTTAAACTTTTCCATCTGAATCGAACGTGACCTATGGAACTGCCCTATTGTTGTTTCTGGATAAATTTTGGTCAGAGTACGTCATGATGAAACTTAATAGATTACTGGATATCTTCTTCCCTTTCCGTCTTTCTCTCTTCCAGCTCATGATCTTATGGAAGCAAATGGAAGACGATAATATTAGTCACGCCCTTATTTATATTTCTTCAAATACTTGCATCTTCGTTTTAGAGGTCCTAAAATGTTGAAGCTTAATATGTATTATGATGCAATGGCAGATATTAAAACAGACCGGAATTTTAAAGGGAAGAAACCTAATTTGCCAGCAAATAAGGGTCCTTCTTTATTGGAGCTGAGTGGTTACAACGAAAAGCGACAGGAGTTTGATCCAGAGTATGATAATGAAGCTGAGCAACTGCTAGCGGAAATGGAATTTAAGGATGCTGATGGTGAGGATGAGCGTGAGCTGAAAATGAGAGTGTTGCGTATATACTCAAAGAGGTACTAGTCTGTAAAATTTTGGTAGATGCATTTTCATGAATAGAATTAGTGTAACTAGATGCCTTTTATGTTGGCTTTAAATGCTTATTAGCAAAACCATCCATCAAAACTTGTTTACTTTTCCATTGCATCTCAAATACATGTTCTCTAAATCTTATGGTGATGTAACTGTTTTGCAGGCTAGATGAGAGGAAGCGGAGAAAGGATTTTATACTACAAAGAAATTTACTTTATCCAAGTCATTTCGAAAAGGAATTATCGGCCGAAGAGAGGGCAATATGTCGTCAGTATGATGTCTTCATGCGTTTTCATTCGAAGGAAGAACATGAAGAATTGCTTCAAACAGTCGTTGCAGAGCACCGAACCTTGAAAAGAATTCAAGAACTTAAGGTTTGAAAACTTGTTTTTTATTATGTAGATGTATGTTAGATTCTTGTTCCGAATTTCCTTGATATTTGAGGAACTTTGATCTGCTAGGGCCCATTTAAAAACGATTTCGATTTTTGTTTTCTGTTTTTGAAATCTTTGTTTACTTTCTCTCATTTTCTTGGGTATGTTTTTCACCTTCTTCTTAAACAATACATTTGAATTCTTAGTCAAATTTAAAAAACAAAAAATGAGTTTTTAAAAACTATGTTTTTTCTTCTTAGTTTTCAATATTTAGTTTAGATTTTGAAAAATAAAATGTAGTTTTCAATATTTAGTTTAGATTTTGAAAAATAAAATGTTTCCAAAAAAGTAGATAATAAAACAAATAAACACATAGGTAGAAGTAATGAAACCAGCTTAATTTTTAGAAATATAAAATAAGAAACAAAATGGTATGGGCCTATATTACTGAAAGGGGAAATGAGATAAATTAAGTCTTGTTTTGTTGCTTTTTGACCCATTTTGTGGGAGAAGGGAGAAAGATAATGGAGGTGCAGTGCAATTATATTTGCAAGATTCAGTGTTGCTGTATCTTTTCAAAAGATCTCATTAAACCTTATGTCTTATTAGATCTACATATGATTGTGCAGGAAGCAAGAGCTGCTGGCTGCCGTACAGCGAACGAAGCAGAGATCTTTCTAGATAAGAAAAGGAAAAGAGAATCTGAAGAAACCGATTGTAGAGTGAAAGAAGGTACTCTTACGGGTCCTGGCAGTCAGGGGAATTCAATCATGTTCATGCCTTCAGAGTCTGCTAGCAAGGATCCAAATTCACGACCAGCCAACGATTTCGATACATTGGGATTCAATCACGCGGATTTGCTTTCTGACGCTGTAAGTGCATTCTCTGCTTACTTGTTAATCTCCAGACATTTTAAGAGTAAACCACCGTGTAAGAAACAACTCTGCAGGCATCATTTAATGTGGGTGTACCATTAGTCATTTCATTCAAAGAAACCATCTTTAAAGAGCTCTTATGATCTAAAATCTCAACTATCTACCTGAGTCTACCCCACGTATTTGTCGGGATTGATCGGAGCCAAAATATAGAAAAAACTAAAGAGAACCTGGTTCTATCGATGTCGTGGGACAAAGTCCTCACACTTCTGGGAAAATCTCTGGGCCTTCCCTTGGAATTAAACTGCTAGTCTCTACACTGCTATATTAAAATGTAGCTCCACAACCAAATCTAACTGTAACCTAATAAGCAAATGGAATTAGAAACCTTAATGAATAGGAGTGTAAACCCAACTAAGGTACCGACTCTGTCCAATTTTGGACAGCCTTTTAACTTTTATCAGTCAGTGCACATCCGAAATTGGAGTCGATTCGAGAATTACAAAATAGTATCTGTCACTTAAAAGCTCATGCGACAGATTTTCAGAAGTAACAAGTAATACTCGGGAAAAACAGAGAGACGAGAAAATTATTCTTGTGGGATGTTCTGTTATCATTGATATTATAATCATCATCTCTGAACCATTCATGTACATCTGTAAAAAGTGTCTTTAAATGCAAAATAACTTCAGTTTGCAACATATTTAAACCTAGAAACACACAAAGACAGTCCCCAATCTTAGGAAAATATTAGACTTGCTATAAAACTGTAAGCTACCCAAGGAGTGTTAGTATCATTCCGATTCGTCCACTCGACAATTCAATCTGAATAAGTAGTTTAACTGGGTGGGCATGCTGATCGAACAACAGCTATCGTAGACTCTCTGACGGGACCTGAAAATATTTGTGTGGTGTTCTTGGGGGATCTTGGTTCATGTTTCTCTATATATGCTAGACTTTTTACTGATGCAGTCTGGAATTTTTACTGGGTTGGCAGGAAAAAAGACTCTGCAGTGAAATCAGACTAACTCCACCTCTTTACCTAAAGATGGAAGAAGTTTTATCAGTAGAGATTTTCAATGGCAACGTGACCAAGAAATCTGATGCCCATCACTTGTTCAAGATTGACCCAATCAAAATTGACAGAATCTATGAGATGCTCATAAAAAAGGGGATTGCTCAGCCTTGATATTGTTTCATTCCATCCTTCATCTTCATTGCTGCTCCATTTTCCCTTTCTTTTTCTTTTTGTAGCTTAATTATTCACCCTTTATGAAATGGAAGGGAGGTTAGAAATTTAGTTATCTCTTTGAAATGTGTTAGTAGCTCACCAGTATTCATAGTACAATAGAATGTAATATGAATAAATTGTGTTATATTTAAGGTTTAAATCCAAGTCCCTATAGTCTGTAAACTGTTAGATAGGGTTTTTTGTTGGATCTTTCTAATTTCTTAATTTTATACCTATCTGAGTCATTGTAATTAATTGTTCATCACTCATTTAACAGAAATTTGAATATGCTTTTAGGCTGACATCTAACATTGTTTCAAACATTTGTCTGATATGATTAACAGTAATAAAAAATTTATAAAAGATTAACGGTAAAGATTAATGAAAAGTTTACGGATTAGTTAACTAACCTATATGATTAATAGATATTTTTTTAATTATTGGAATAATATATTATTAGACTACGATGTGATAGATCTCAGTTGTCAACTTGAAGTATCTTCACCTCACATGTCGAACTAAAAAAATGTAAATGGTTTGGAAACAAAAAGGAGGATATTTAAGGCTCGTTTGGTAAGTTCCTGTTTTTTGTCTCTCTCTCTGTTTTTTTTTTAAAACGTTCTTATAAATTTTGGAAATAACCAAAACAAGTTTCTTTCTTTTTGTTCCCATTTTAAATTTGTTCCAAATCCTAAGTAAAAAAATTGTTGTATCATACTTGAATTTATGGATATTAGAGCCATGCAATTCATTTTTCTTTATTAAAATGAAGAAATAGAAACAAGAAATAAAAGCGTTATCAAACGAACCTTTATAGTCGCTCTTGTTTTTTTTTATTTCATCAATTTTAATAAAGAAAAATAGAATTGCATGACCCCAACCCCAACACCCATGGATATAAGAATGATAAACCGCCAAGGATGTGTGTCCAGTGAAACCTATGCCCCTCTAGGGCTGCTTTCGTAATTACCAAATATTGACACGTGTTACAAATTTGGCGATGTTGAGGAAACGGACACTAAAGAGGGACCAAATTATAATTTCATTTCTAAAGTTTCGGTGTGTATATATATATTATATTATATAATATAATACCAAAAAAATTCATTCTATATCCCTAACTTTCATCGGTTAAATCAATTAATTTGTTAGATAGAGTTTGCTTGAAAATAGTTGAGGCATAATTCTTACATATGTCTAGATTTTTTTTTTTAGTACAATATATAGGGTGGGGATGGTACTTACATTTTTTTAGTTGAAGATATATGTCAATTATCATTGAGCTAGGCTCGCTTTGACATGTGTAGACTTCTTTAAATGCAAGATTATTAATGATCGACCATATTGATGAAAGTTGTTACCCACCAACCTAAAAAAGTCTTTAATGTGTGGTCAAAATCATGCAATTTCAAACGAAACCCTAGTAGAGAGTGTAAATTAATTCTCATCATTTCGGTTATTGTTATATTATATTTTCCCACTTAACAATTGGTTTACCCAGTACTCCCTCCAACTTTATCGTGCCTTTGAATATACATGCTCACATTAACATGTTAGTATACATCAAAGAAGCTACGTTTTTAATTACCTTTTTGACGCATAAATTTGGCCTATCGAAATGGAAAAAACTTCATGAACTCCTATGTGGTCTAGTAGCATATAGACAAGTGTATCATATAGAAATTATACAAAATTAAAAAAAAATTCACTTGTTTATATGCTATTAGACATGCATGAATTCAGGAGGAGCTCCTCCTGAATCTTCAGAGGGAAGTTTTATCCTATCGAAATTATCAAATTTGTACAAAGGATTTGAAGAAACCTACAAAATAGAAAGATATTACACTGACGTGAGATTTTGTAGCTTGATTATGAGTATTTTTCCTCCAAATAATATAGAAAATTTAAAGTCATTAGGATATCTTTCGATTGGAATTCAAATTTTTAAGGACGTATAAGATTTATTAGATGAAAGAAATTCAAATTAGAAAAATGAGAGATTTTTAAAATCCATAACATAGCTCACGTCAATCAACGATACAAAACAACATAAAAGAAGTATCGTTATTTTCTTTCTGATAGATTCCAATCTCCAAGTTTAAGCAATGATTGTGACCTTTTAAGTGAGAGCAATAATGGAACAGATTTGTGTTGGTACCTTATTCTTTTTTCATGGCATCAGAAGAGAAGAAAATGATATGACTTTGAGGCTCATTTCGTGGAGAAAACAACAAAAACAAAACCCCTAAAAAACCCTAATTTCCATTTCATCACAAAGCTACACGTGTCCTCTTCTCCCTCACTTTCATTGCAACACAACACCAGAAGCTTCGAGCCCCCTCCCTTTTTGTCTCCATTCCCCAAAAATAACCTCTTCCCTCCCCTGCCTCCCCTCTGTTCACAGGCCCATTTTCGTCATTTCTCCACCCCTCAAACCATGGCCATGGCAGAGCTTTCAAGGACCACTATAAAAGGAACCAGAACATGGGAATCTCAAACACTTCACAAACAAAACCAAAATCAAAATCAAAATCTCCCCTTTTCCATAAAAAAGCTGTCATTTTTGTGATTCCCTTTGAGAATGGAAGAACACCCACAAGCCAAAGATTTGGATTCAAGTGAAAGTTTGAATCTTGATGGGATGTGCAGAACAAATTGGAGCAGCAAAGTGCAGAGGTTGAAAGGGATGGTGAAGTTTGTAGTGTCAGTTTGTGTGTTTTGTTTGGTTGTTGCCTTGTTTTTGTCCCTCTTCTCTCTCTTCCCCCATTCCTTCACTCTCTATTTCTCCCTCTTCTCTCTCCTCAACCATGCCTTGGACAGAAACTACATGTTCTTGCTCTGCAATGGAATCCTCCTTCTCCTTGCCACCTCTCCTCTGCAACATTCTAATTCCATTCCCCACCATCACTATGAGCTTCGAGAAGAAGAAAAAGAGGAGGAGGTGGAGGATGACGATGATGACACATCAGCAATTCATTCTGCTGACCTGGCAGCTGTGGGGCCCACCAGCCCCATTATTGAAGAAGAAGATGATGAAGGGTGTTTTACAGATGAGGTGGAAGAAGAGGAAGAAGAAGAAGAAGGGAAGAGGAGTGAAGAATTGGAGGTGGTGGTGAGTACAGAAGAGTTGAACAAGAAAATTGAAGAGTTTATAAGGAAGATGAAGGAGGAAATGAGGATTCAAGCAGCAGCAGCAGCTCAAACTCAGCTTGTTGCAGTGTAATCATGATGTGGATTGAATTAAATATGTAAAGCATATGCCCAATCTAATGAATAATATAAACTAAGAAGTCTTTGATATAGGTATGTGTTTTTTGGTCCAACTTCTTCCGATCTTTGAGAAAAATTGATCAACAGATTATAATTCAAGGAACACAAGTGAGCTGCATGTCTTTTCATATTCTCTCTTTCTTTTTTTTTTTTCCTCTGAAATGATATTGTTCATTTTGAGTATAACTTTTACGACTTTAAAAGTGGAGATAATTGTTCTCGTTTATATACCCACTACCTCATATATAAATCTATAATTTTCTCTTATTTAGTCCAGTCCATATGAGATGGTTCGCACTCTCAAAAATCCTCTCCTCGAACAAAAATATCATCGAACCTCTCTTCAAATGGTCAAGTCCTCACGAATTTCCTTATTTAACCTATGGGACTTTGATTGCATTCCCAACCGTATTAGTTTACCCTACTCAGTGAGCCTACTCAGTGAGCGTGATTTTCTCAACTTTTCTTTGATGATAATAATAGCATACTTTCTTTTAGGTACTTGAACTAACTTCCAAACTTTTTTTTAATGTATATTGATATATCTTTAATAATATCATTCGAGATGCTAAATGATAAGAATGTTAAAGAATAATTTAATTGGGATATATCAAGTGTATGGATATATATGTATACATATTTTTTGACTTCCGGACACAGAAACCGTGCCAAACACCTATGCATAGCAAGTGTATATATTGATTTTTATGACCAAATTAAATGTATAAATTGCATAAGTAAGATAATTAAATATACATATATGTATATATAAGAGGTGTTTGCAAATGGTAATTTTTTGTTTACCAATAATAGTGTAATTGTTGTCTTGGTCTCCTAATTGTTGGCGGAAAAAAAATCAATTACCTTTTTTATTTAAAAAAAATCAATTACTTTAAAAAGAGACTTTTTTTTTTTTATAAAAAAAAAGAGACTTAACAGTACAAAGCACATAAATTTCTTCCCTTGCTTAACACCGCACAGCAAAATGAAGTACTTAACGATTGTACTTCAAACAGCAACAACAAAAAGGGGGAAAAACAGTAAACCCTAGAAGTGGAATTGGATTTTCTTTGCTTCGACAATTACAACACGAATTACTATGTTTTTTTTTTTCTTTTTTTTCTCTTTTCCTCCCCTAATCATTCAGCCCATTGACATCCGACAAATTTCTTTTCGGATCTTGTCTTCTTCCACTTCATTCAATGACCACAACCCTGAAAAACCGACCTTTCAATCCCGATTTGTTTCCCCGACCGTGTGGCTCAAATCCGCGGATTTCTTTATCTTTCTTTTCTTACGTGCATTTGTGGGATTAAAGTCATGTGCATCTCCTTGATCTCTCCCTGTAAGGACCCCTTTTACGTAATTTCTTTCCCACTGTGACCTGCAGCGACAATTCGGATGCGAATGGCGGGAATCTGGGAGGACCCCAGTTCGATTGTGTAATGCAATTATGGAATCTGTTGAAGATTAGGGTTTCCAGCTTTGAATCTTCCAGTTTTCGCCGAAGTGGTCGTTTATGCAGCCGATTGATCTCGGGTAAATTTCTGATGCCATGTGCATGTACGAACAGATTGTTGTTGTAAAAGGATTTGGCATTATTGTTCCGACATGTCGTTGTCAGGTAGTGGTTTGCGGGATATTGGTGGCTTGTTAATGGCGAGTGGTAAGGATTTAGGCAGGTGGAAGCCAGAGAGTGAATGTTGGTTCCTTGGCAATATCTCGAACATCCCTTTTCTTGACTGTTAATTTGTTCTGTTCTAAATAAAGAAAGACAGCTTTCCTGTCTAAATTTTAGCTATGTTCGTGAAGGAATTCTCATGAAAACCTAAGCTTTTAAACTCATTTATTATCTGTGTTTATTGTACAGGTCAAACACTGTTTATTTATTGATTTCCCATGAACTTTTGTCAAAATGCCAGAGGAAAATCATTAAGCTAACTGGGGAATTAATGGTACTGCCTATACAAAATCGTCAGGCCTCTTAGTATTTGCTTTCCAGCATTTGATGATAAATGTAGGATTGCTGTTGCTTGCATTGTATTGGTTTAGGTTTCATGTTATGTCCAAGAACACTAATTCTTTTTTGGCGGAATTGGGAAGTGCTTGAAATTGCTTTGGAGCTAATGCTCTCAACATCTCAAATGATAAATAGGCTGTGAAAATTGACGATATTGATCTTGTATAACGTGACTAAGGAGGGTAAGTTTCACCAGTTTTTGCTTGTGGATTAGTATCATTAGATAGAAATTTTTTGTTGGAAAATTGCTGTCTAATGTTAATGACCTCGAAAGTGTGCTGAAACATAATCTCTTCCGAGTTTAAAATCAGCAGTTTTAGCCTCGTTAGGAATAGGATATCTTCATTGATTTTCTGATGGACCTTGGTGATGTTGAGCAATCCTTGCTTCCTAACCTGGCCGATTCTGGTAAGAGGAATGCTCTCCAGAGAAGAAAATCTGCCCGTAGTGGTAGTTTTTCACAATTGGTAGAAAATAACAATCAACCACAAATTTGTGATGAAGTGTCTCATCAATCTACGATTGCTCAACAAATCAGTTTTAGGCAAGTGTTTGTTCTTCTGGCCACTTATTTGGGAGGAGGCACACTTTGTTTCTTCCTCGTTCAGGATCAGATCAGCGGCAAGAAAACAAACGGAATTGTTGACGCCCTTTACTTTTGTGTTGTGACAATGACCACTGTTGGATATGGAGATCTTGTTCCTAGTAGCTTAGTTGCAAAACTACTTGCATGTGCTTATGTATTCACTGGAATGACTCTTGGTGGGATGATTCTTAGCAAGGCAGCCGATTACATTGTGGAAAAGCAGGAAATCCTTCTGGTTAAAACTATGTACATGAGGAACAATATTAGCTCCAGTGAGATCGTTCAAGAATCTGAGGCTCACAAACTGAAATACAAATTCATAATGACCGGAATCCTCCTTTGGGCTCTCATAGTTGTTGGAACTCTTTTCTTAACTGCGGTTGAGAAACTAGAGTTCATGGATGCCTTTTATTGCGTTTGTTCCACAATCACTACTCTTGGCTATGGGGATGAGAGCTTCTCTACCTCAGCTGGTCGTGTTTTTGCTGTAATTTGGATATTGAGCAGTACCATCTGCTTAGCTCAGTTCTTTCTGTACCTTGCAGAATTACGCACTGAAAGGAGACAGAAATCACTGGTGAATTGGGTTCTCAACCGAAACCTCACACACTTGGATCTTGAAGAAGCAGACCTTGATCATGATAAAGTAGTAAGGTAAGCGTGATTTGCCTGTCATATTCTCTCTTATCCTTGAATTCCACTGGGTTTCTTTCCTGTTACTAATGTCCTAACAATGACTAATTCTGTTTGATTCAATTCTTGGATGTATTATGGCTTCTTGGCCATCTGCTTTATCAGTGCTGCAGAATTTGTTCTATATAAGCTGAAGGAAATGGGGAAGATCTGTCAGGAAGATATTTCACCTATACTTGACACCTTTAAGAAGCTTGACATTGATCAATCTGGATCTTTGACAGAAGCTGATTTAGTAACTTCATAGTCGTTATGCTGCGGAATAACACCTAGCTATTATTAGATCATAAACTCTTGTAGAGCATCAAATGAGGTAATCCTTGCTCCTTAATTTGTCCACTCTCTTAGATTCATTGATATCAATCCAGATTAGTAATATTATACCCATCATTTTTAGATTGTTATGACATATTTGGCCATGCTTCACCAAATTGAATGGAAAGGTATTTGTCGGTTCGATTGATTCTTTGCTTCATAATGATTCGACCTGTGTAAACCATGATTTCAACAAGTTTTAAAATGTGGATGATACTTGATCTCTATTTCCCGTGATTCTATAGATCAGAATCCAAGTATCTACACTTATGGTTGACATCTATACAAAACTCAAAAGTGTTTCACATCTGACTATAAATCTCATTTGCATGATTAAATTTTTTAAGTGATCATTGATCTGAAATATCCTTAACCATTAGGATTCAGACAGAATATGTCAAGAAGTGCATGCATAATGACATTCTGATTCTATTTGCAGACCATTTTTGGCATTGAACTTACATGTTGGGTTTATCACACCTAAATTCATTGGTAGCTGTAATATACAAAGTGAATAGATGTAGACAATTTTTGAGTCTCCATTGTCTAGACTTCGACTGTGACGAATGATCTCTTATTGGTACCTATATTGGTTTTCAGCATATTCAGGCCGTCCTGCAACATAATCTAGAATCCCTTCACCCGCCCTTACACCGTGAACTTCAATTCCAACTGGGAAACTGCCTCCAAAGGCAATCATTGCCACCAAGAGTACGGCTGTGGAGACAAAGAGTGGCCAAAAGAATGCTAGAATGCTTAGGAACCGCGGGGCTGCATATACAAACAATGATATAACCACAGAAACTGCTGCTACAACAGTTATTTGGTCTCTGTGTTGGAGAACCTTTGTTTGAATGTCCATGGAGAAAGAAAGAGAGAGGAGAAATGGCTATGAGAGATGATGCCTATGAGTCTCTTCTTTCATTGTAAGATGATATTTATAAGTAAATAATATTAATATTGTTGATGGGTTTCAAAAGTTCTCAAGATTTGCTTGGTTGATCAGCTTCTTATTTTTCCCAAGTTTGCGATCGTTTATTGTTGCTGGCAAATTACAGAAACGCCCTTGCATAGCTTGCAGATATTTTGATGTGAGTTGAAGGGAGGAGGGTTAATCAGTCATAAAACAAGAGACAAAAGGAAACGTTAGGACAAGGATGCTTGATCAGATTCGGTTGTCCATTTGCTTGATTGGTCGGTTGTCCATTTGTTCATTTGGATTTCAGAGTAAAATTGAGGAAAAGAATGGCATCTTTTCTTGTTCTCATCCATTGTTCAATCAAAGAACAATTTATAGTTTATAAACAATTTGATTCTTCTGCTTTTGGAGTTAAAGCATATATCATGAAGGGATTGACAATAATAATGGGTTTTCCATTGATGTCAAGTTTCAATCATAATATATGACCTTTTCCCAATCAAATCTCACATTTACCATTGGAATTGTATGGCTCTAGATCACTTGACAATGTGGCTTGTCAAGATTAATGTGATGAAATTCTTTCTTTTTTATATAAAGAATTTTAAAAGTTATTGAAATTAGAGAAATTTCTTTTAAGAAAGAAGAATGGGTCGAGGCTTCAGGGCAGGTGTGTGCACCCTTTGGTATAGGAGAACAAAGCTCCAATTCCCAATTATCACATAAATAAATAAAGAAGAATATATATATATATATATAAAAGATGCTCTCATGAAATCTTAAAAACCTACTAATTAAAGAGTGCATCAAAAACTTTTTGGATTCTCCCAGCATGGTATTCTAAGACTCCTGGATCTCTTGCATTCCTATAACATCAAATAAACACAATAATCTGTGTATCCAAGATGTTTGAGTAATGGTAAAATAAACACAAAAATCTATCCATCTAATGAGAATCCATAATTACTGCAAACAAACACGCCTTGAATTTCTACTCAATCTCCATCCCCATAAGCTATACAAGTTTTCCCTGGACCCAATTCAAAAATCTTGTTCCTCCGAAATGACAGACAACGACGGCCGCCATTTTTTACACCGTCTGCGGGGGCCTGTATAACTCAACAATCTTTGCCGACACTGAAACTTCTTTGCATTTGCCAACAGCAACTTAAACTGTTCCTTAGTTACCACAATTTTCACCTTCCTTGCTCCTCCCCCATCCGAGTAGGTTATCTTTGAGGAAACCAGAAGATTTTCGAGCTCTTTCAGGCATGGAACAACATTTTGAACCTCCCCAATTTGGGGGCTGACTTTGGTTGGCAAAGTAAAAGCATGGAGAAGAGGGTCATTACCATTTTCAGTAGCAGGATCGACTGTTGTAGCCGCCCGAGTGGCTTTTCCGAGCCCTCTTACCTTCTTCGATGGAGACTGACTGCAAGGCAAGACGATGCAGTTTCCCATATTTGTTAATGAATGGAGAAGAAATGGAAGTCTAACGAATATATATAGCATGTGGTGTTGAGATGATGTTCCCTTGCAAGGCATCAGAACGTGCCAGCCATTACACTGCTTCTTCACGACCTGTTTGTATATAATAATATGCATAGCCAACGACTTCAACTGGGAAATAGAGATAAGAAATTATAAGATAGTACCATGTTATGTGCACTACTATCACAGAGTTCAGACTGGAAAATTATAAAACTTCTAATAATCGAAGTCAATGGCTTTGACATTTTGTTTTTGGACTGCCCAATACATCCTTGGCATTCACAAAGTCAGAAAAAACAAAAGGAAAACAGAAGAAGAGATTGGCTGTCTCTTCAGGCTTGGAAGGCATGACTCAGACAGGTCAAATATATTGTATTGACTTATTATTTTAGTATTTTTTGTGAGGAGAAAGTGACATTCCTTGGAGTTCTTTGAAAATTTTGATAATATTATATGAATTTAAAAGTCAACCTACTGCTCACCATACAAGTTTATTGGGAAGGAATGAGGATAGTCTGCATGAACCATTCTGGTTCCAACTTGAGTATAGTATCTCCATTTAGTTCTCAGAAGGGGCAGCTATCAGTAACAACAGTTTAGATCAAGGGGGAAAAGACACAACAAATATGGAACTTACAGATGCATTTCGAGCCTTGAAACAGAGATCTAAGACATTAGTAAGTTTGATTGTTACCTTGATAGCAGGTTCTTGAGAGTTGAGTCAAGCGCCAGAACTAGGTAGTCCCGTGGCAATGTGTTCCGTATTTTTCACAACTTTGGGAGATTTCAATTGCTTGGCCCCCCTAGCACAGCATTATTCTTGGTGCCTCCTGTTAGTCTTCTCCGTCTCTTCTTGCTTCTTCAATCTGACCCCTCCATCAGGGCACTTGGGTCTTCTCTATCTCGTGTCCTCTGATCTTCTTCCACCATTGGCGATCGCAATTGCACTGGTTGAAACCTACTATCCATCTTTCCTCTTGATGTGCCCGAGATAGTTAAAGCTCAATACCAAATTGTTAGGACTCGAGCCTAATTTATAAATATTACAATCAGCTTTTCGAGAGACCTGTACTCTTCTTAATCTTAAAGGAATATCCAACTCAACGCTCTGGTAACAAAATAGTCCAACTTCTCTTCCCATTCCACTCATTACTTATCCCCTACCCTTACGTAACAAAATTTTATCATCTGTTACCACAAAATTGGGCCCCACACACGTGCACCCACAAAACATTCCCTCCCCAAAATACAAAATCCCACACACATGCACCCACAAAAATTCCCTCCCCAAAATACAAAATGACTTTTGTAATTCCCACAACACAAACATACGTAAACTTGATGTGTCACCTTGCATTTGTATCATCTCACTTTAGCTGGATGATAATGGAACTCTAGCATGCTTTTTCAGATGTCTACTGATATGAAAAATTAATCTTGCACTGATTAGAAAGGATGAAAGTTGAGAGTGCGAACCAAGGACAACAAAATAATCATAAAAAGTTGGCGTTAAGCAAGAAAGTAAAGTGTTAGAGCATCAATCTGAAATTCCAAGGAACTATAATACAACAGAAGCACAACGATTGCAGAACTCTCCATTGCATCCTTTAGCATTAGATTCTCTTTCAAGAAATATATGGCCGATTAAAGGCAAAGAAAAGGGGAAAAAGGATATAAATGACTTCAGATACTATGGATCAAACTAAATATAAGTTCATGAATTGAGGGACCTCAAGAACAACCTATGCTGCAACTAATTCAGGAGAACCTCTAGATTCCAACCATGATTTTGCAGCCACTTTAGTTGTCAAAAACCACCCGACCTTTTCTGGAGCCTCATGGAATGGAGCATTTAATTCCTTCAAATGTGACTCAAAGACACTCGCCAAACCTTTATCAGAATACTTGTGTTTTCCATGTCCAGTATTTATTCCAAGTAATGGTGGAAGTTCCTCCCCAGATTCAAGCACCTTTGTTAAGTCATTTATCCAAACGTGTAATGCAGTGAGAGCAGCCCCAAGAGAAAGACCCTTAAGATGTAGAGACCACTGAGTTGGAGACGTGGACTGCAAACCTGTGTATATCTGAAGCGTAAGCCCCAAATCCAGGAGCTCGCATGCCTTCTCTAAAAGATCTAAATTCACACAGAGATCAATTAAGCAATTGCAATAGGCTTTTCTCACATCAGCACTAACAACACTAAGTAGTTCTGAGGCTTCAGTTCTGAGGTCTCCTTCCTTGTCTTGTTCCCCTAGCAAAAGCTTAACCACATAACCGAGTTTCGAGTTAGCTCTCTCAACACAATCAATCAGCTTACTAAGTTCCTCTTTTGGTGTTTGGGTGATTACATTGAGAAGACAGCCACAGAATCGATCATCTGGAGTTAAACCCAGCTCTACCAGTCGATCGAATGTTCTCACAACATCATCAACGCGTTTGCCTTTCCCATAACACTGGATTAGTGAAGTCAAGACAAAGATATTAGGGTCAAAACCGGCTTCCATCATCTCGTTCAACATTTCCTCCGCCTCTGATACTTTTCCACTGCAGGAATATATGGTAATCATGGAAGAAAAAGTCCAACTGTCAGGTGAGCATGCCCCAGAGCTCTTCATGTCTTCAAAAATTTCAACAGCTTCATTAACGTAGCCAACATCAGCACACATAGCTAAAAGTGTGTTGTAGAGAATTACATTTAACTGCAATCCTTTTTCCTTCATCTCCTTGTACACAAGGAGGGCATCCTCACCATATCTGGCCCTCCCATAGGCACGTAAAAGCGAAGCATAAGTTGCCCAGCTTGGTGAAAACCCGTTTTTAATCATCTCTTTGTAAATGGTCTTGATCTGCCAGGGTCTTTTAGCCCTACCCATAGCATCCAGCAAGCTGTTATATATAACCAAGTTAGGCTTGATGCCTATAGCCTTCATTTCTTCATACACATTCAAGCACCCATCATAGTTCCCAGCCACTCCATGAATTTTGATCAATGTCGAGAATGTCGCAGGATCAATACGCCAGTTTTCAGTTCTTGCACGATCATACAAGCTGAAAGCCATGTCAACATTACCAGCCCGCCCGTAGGCATCAATCATCGCAGAGTAAGTGACATCATCAGGATTACAGTCAAAACTTGGCATCTTTTCAAACCACTCAACAGCCTTATTTGGCAACGAACACAACCTAGCACAACTAATTACTGTAGAAAATGTCACGTTATCAGGCTTAACTCCTCTCTTAAGCATTTCGTCGAACAGTTTCTCTGCACCTTCCATATCTCTCGACTTCCTAAGCACCTTCAGCGTTACATTGTAAAGAATCGCCTTTTTACTTGATTTCAACACCTTCTGAAACATCTGAAGAGCAAGCAACGCAGTACTGGAATTCGACATGTTATTCAGCACCGCAACAGCGTCCTGTTCTAAAATGTTACTACCCATCCCCTTCAACACATCAGCAACATCTTCCTCACATGGATTACAAGAGTCCAAAGACTCCGAAATTCTCGTAAGAGAAGCATACCTGGCTTCGTAAGATTGGTTGCGGAGTTTCGAAGCTCTGGGGCTTCTGGGATTGACCCAGACGGAGCTTTTGGACGAGGAATTAGATTTCCCATCCGGGTATTTCGAGCTTTCATCCTGAGTGGGAATTGGATTTTGGGCTTCTTGAGCAGCGTATTCCTGTAAGGAGACATTGGTTATCCGGAGACATGTTTTTGAGTGGTGAGGTGTGGGATTGAGCTTGAAACGGTGAGAAGACTTGCGTAGAGTTATTCTGTGTTGAGAGTTTAAAGAATTGGAGAGAGGATGGTGGTCGGAGAAGAAGGTGGACGGTGAATGGCAGAGCTGGAAAGCCATTCCGGTGCCTCTCCGATGAGTTCTTCTCTCCGGTTGAGTCGCTCGTCCGCCTTATCGGCTGGCCTTTTTGTCAGACAAAAATCTCCCGGAGCAAAATTTGTATGGACACGTTGATATTTCACATATTTATTTTATGCTTAAATAATTTCTAATTATTTTAAAATATTCTAATTACTGCTTAGGTATAGACCATTAAATTAACAAAGATTTTTAAATTTTAACTAATTATTTTATTTTATTCTCTAAACTTTTTAATATTCTATTTTAGTTTTAAAGTTTAGTTCTTAATTTTGCCCAAAAATTTATTGGGATAAATACCATTTTGGATCCTTTAAGATTAAAGACAAATTTTATTTACTCCTTAAATTTTAAAATCTTATACTTTCTGACATTAAAGTTTTTATAATGCTTCATTTTAAATTTTGGGATGGTTTTATCTCTCTCTAATATCTCTCTCCTCCTTCCCTAATTCATAAATCGTTGTCATTTTAATATATTTTGAATCTTTAATATATTATGACAGTTAGGACTTCATTAAAACAAATCAATACATAAATTATGGGATTGTATTTTAATCAATACAATTTTTAAAACCTAAACCCATTTAGAAATTAAATACCAAACCCTATCATATGTGCTTTCAAACACTTGACCCTATAGACATTTATTAATTAGGTATAGGCTATATATTTTGGTAAATAACTTTTTTTACGATACCTGTAAAATAATTTATTGAACTATTAGCAAAAATAAGAATAAAAAAATAAATAATACAACCAAAGCAACATAATCTAACTCACATAATTTATTGAACTATTAGCAAAAATAAGAAAAAAAGAATTAATACCATCAAAGCAACATAATCTAGCTCACATTTAATACATGAGTGGTGATAAACAATTTGATTTATTGAACCTATCAATTTGGACCAAGCATTCGACCAGATTTTTCAAATCGTTGATATATATATATTTTTTACACTCGAACATTATTCAAAATTTACTTGATTACACAAACGTTCAACATATTTTGACATATTAGAGTATACACTTATACACAAAACTAATAATGAAACATTAAAACATAACAATGGAATTATTATTATTTGTTAGGCCATCCAAGCCTCCAACTAACTCCCTTCAACACCCTTATTATCCTAACCATGAGATGCACGTAAACACGAATCACCACCATTCACCGACTGCCACCTGTCACATGACACTGCATCCAGCTGCATTTTCTTCATTAAGATACTCACAGTGGCTGACGTAACAGGGCCTCCCTCCGCCGTAACTGTCGTAAATGGGCCTTCCAGAAGCGCACCCATCACAACATGGGCCGGGCCTACCGTACCCTTGATAACATGGGCC